ATTTTATTAATTTTCATGCATTGATTGAATTGCCTTTGAATGGGGCGATGTACACTTGGTCAAGTAACTGTGTTCTGAATTTGATTCTTATCAAACTGGATCAGTTCTTGATACCCAATGACTGAAAATATCGTTTTCCTCTAAGATAATGTTAATGCTATTGGAAAGTTTACTTCGGATCACACGGTGCTGATTTTGCAAACTAATGTTGTTTATAGTGGTTTTAGGCCTTTTCGATTAGAGGCTGCTTGGTTGGAGGAGGGTGAGGTTGTAGAATTAATAAAGGAAGTATAGGGTCGCACAATGGTATTGGGATGGGGTAGGCTACAGATTGTCTAAAAACCTATGATCGTAAAACAAAGCTTACTCCAATAGATAAAAGATCATAACTTCAACATCAAATTTTGTATTGAAGATGCAATGGAACGAATTAAAAACATTGATAACTATGGACAGCTGTCGGGGTAATTAGTTGGGGAAATGAGAGTTCTTGCAAATACTCTCTATGATTTATTAAGAATGGAGGAGGTGTATTAGAAGCAACGTTCTAGGGTAAAGTGGTTGAAAGGATGTGATATGAACACAAATTTTTTTCATGCAATAGCCAATGCCAGGAGAAAGTAGAATGATATTTCGAACATTAGATTTTAAGGGGTGGAGGAGGAGAATTCAGAAGAATGGGAAGTGAAATTCATCAATCACTTCAAAAAAATGTTCTTTTCAAAACTGTCTTTTGTGATGAAGCTAGATGGAGTTCCTTTTAAGTTGTTGCCTCCGACTATAACTCTAGAATTGGAAAACAATGTAGAAGTAGATGAATTGAAGGTTGTTTTTGCGCTACCTGGTGATAAGGCCCCTGGGCCGAATGGTTATCCCCTAGTTTTTTTCCATAAATTCTGGCCTATGCTAAAAGACGAATAGGGGCATAAATTCAACTTATGTTGCATTAATCCCCAAAAAGAGTTCTATTTTGGGATTAGTGATTTAAGGCCAATCAGTTTGCTTACAAGTTTATATAAGATTATTTTGAATGTGTTAGTTGAAAAACTGAAAAGAGTATTGTATTTGTTAGTATCTCAGACACAGTAGGCATTTATTAAAGGAAGAATGATCATGGATGGTTTTTATTGCTCAGGAATGCATTCATTTTAGAATTTAAAGTGGGGAGCCGGGGATTTTGTTAAAATGTGATATGGAGAAAGCATACGATATGGTGGAGTGGAAGGTGTTGGATGAAATTTTGAGGCACATGGGTTTTGGGGTAAGGTGGAGGCAGTGGATTAGTAGGTGTTTGTCATCGGCATACTTTTCTATTTTGATAATCCGAAAAGGTTTTTTAGTGCATCTAGAGAACTAGAGCAAGGTGACCCACTATCTCATTTTTTATTCACTCTTGTGGGTGAAGCTTTTAGCTTAATGTTGAATAATGTGGTTAAAAAGCAATGGTTTAGTGGTTTCAAAGTTTCAGATGAATCTTCAATCATCTCACATTTGCAAGAGTAAAAAGGAAAAGCAAATAAAATGGCTACTTCTCATTTTTTTCATTTAAAAAGGTATATATAAGAATCTTTTTAGATCTATTAAAATAGATTGTATATAAGTTTTAATGTCAGTTTTGAGTGAAAAAAATGAACAAGGTTTTAAATGGAAATATTTAGAATGATACCATTTATTTTTTATACAAAGAAATCACAATTATGAGCAATTGCAAGATTTGATATTGGATGGTTGAGGATGAGTCATTGTTTCGGTACAGAGTCCTAAACAAAAATTTTTGAATGTTGTGATACAATTTCATCTATTGAATTTCACATCCTATAGTCAAAAGCGATTGTGACCTCTTTATACATAAAATAAATGGTCTCATAGTATACAATCCCTTTACAATTTCATCTATTGAATTTCACATCCAATGGTCAAAAATGATTGTGACCTCTTTGTACATAAAATAAATGGTTTCATAGTATACAATCCTTTACAATAAACACCAATTTTTTAAACTAAATTTTTATCGAAAGGATTTTGATCCGAAAGTTATATATAAAGATTTTGGGACAAATTTTACACAAAATAGATAGGAAATAAGGAAGATCGTGCTAAAAAGGCTGATTTTGAAGAAAATCTTATAATTGTTGAAAGATAAGAACTAAGCTTGAAAACTCCAAATCGATAAAAACTATTATATGAAACAATGACATAGTTGTATATATATAAAGCTCCAAACAAGATTTTGAAACAAATTTGGAAGAAAGTGAGGGGCGAAATGAGCAAGAAAATCAAGAAAAGGCAGATTGAGAGCTTTGAATTAAAAACGGTGAGTTTTTTATCTCTCAATCTCTCCCATTGATCCAAAACTTTTTTTCTGTCACGTGAGAGGAACATTTTGGGACACGATTCAGGGAATTTTTTGTTATTTCTTTATTTTATATGATTGCTGTTTCAAAACAAATTATTTCATCGAGGGACCAATTCAATTTATGTGGTCATGTTGGACCACCATGTTTTTGAAAAATCTTCTTCATAACAATCACAATGTTTCACTCTCTCAAAAGCATGAGGTCCCCTTCAACTCTAACATGTGGCATCTTCAGGACTCTCCTTAATAGTCCTCGTGACACACCATTGATGACACCTTTTGGTATTTAAGCATCCATGCCTATCACCATTCTTTTCTTTTTAATCTTTTGGATGTGCGCACTCTTTCCAAAACCACTTCATGTTATGCTCAGGTCCTCATCTAAGTCCCATGCCTAGGTACATTTATGAGGCTAGTATATACTCATTAGTGGCTTGATACTCATGGGGACATTAAAGGTTTGTGCTTCTAATTGTAGTAGATTTCGAGTATTTTGTGTTCTTATAGCATCGATAGAAATTCGGTGCAGGGCTTTTATAATTCATTTTCAATCGAAGTTTCAATATTTGACGTACTGATTAGAATACTTTTTAGTGTGGTTTTTATGTGAGTACATTGAGCAACTCAGTAACTCAAGATTTTGACATGGTTGTATTGTATCATGAGGGTGTCAGTAACTCAAGATTTTGATATGGCTGTATTGTAACATGAGGGTGTTCATCAGGACTCTATTGCATCTCAAAATTATATTAGGTAGAGGGTGTTCAACATTTTGAAGAAAGTGAACGTACATAAATCTCTGTTGTCACTTTGTATAACCTCTTAACCCTTATTCAATTTCGGAGTTCAACTGGTACTAGGAGGGTTTTATTGTCAGTTATGATCTCTTAAACATGTTCTAAATCCTACGAGAATTTGACTGGTATTAGAAATGTTCTAATAATTTTCTTCTAACACTAGTCCCACATATAAGGGGAGGTGCTCCAATAAGGTGATAGTGAAAACCGTATAAATCTTAACTTTTTGTGAAGAAATAAGAATAATAAAAAATTTGATACTTCAAAACCCTAAAAATGAAAATATGGGATAATTATATCCATTTCGTCATTGGGGCAGTACTCCGAAAGAATGCACTAGTTCCCTAACAAAACTGGGTGTCGCCTGAAAAATCAATCTGAGTCTTCATTCATTAGGGGACTCTTGACTGATCCCCCACCGGTTCCAATCTAGCTCAGGAAATTCCGAGCTGTATACTGATGTTTAAAACGCTAACATAAAACCAATTACTTTTTTCGCCCCAACTGTGAGATATGAAATCGGATGGTAGGCACAGATGTGCATGGTTTAATGTAGAAGCTTGGAGCAAAAGAATGGCATTGTATGATGGCTTGGGTTATTTTTACTTTTACACAGGATCAGTTGGGTTGGGTTGGGGTGTTGTTAATTTTTCATCAGAAAAGCAACCAGTTTCATTAGCTAGCTTGGCCCAACCCCATATCCACATAGGTGGCCTACCTAACCAAAAATCACCTTTTGGCCATTAGACATGAAATTGGATAGCAGAGGTGTTCTATAGACTATGCTTAAAGGTGAAAAAAGAACTTTTTTTTAACTTTGTGACATCCAAGATATCAAACTTATAATAGTTAAAGATGATTGCGACTTCCTTATATCAAACATAAACAGTCTTGCACTATACCATCCCTATAACAAAACCCTAACTTCATGTATACCTCCTAGGGAAGGCAGAGCCTGAAGTGGCAAAATAAATCTGGTATAAATATCGTGATACAGACCTCTTTTATATGGAGTGGAGAGCGGTGTAGAGAGCACGAGGAACATAAGTTGCGGATGTGCTACAGCCATACCATGTCCAAGTCACCAAGCCAAGAGCCCGAATCCAAGTTATGAAATCTATACAAATCTCATAATTTGGTGACAATCTTGAAACATAGCTGGTGAGGTACAGTGAATTTAAAAACCAAGTACTTTTTCTCTAGCAAAAAATATAATATACCTTTAATACAAAGTGTTCATGGATGTGGAGTTGGGTGGATGTATTTATTTCATTGACCGAGATCAAAATTCAAAAGAATTTTTTTCAAACTTTATGACATACCTAAACTATCAAGTTTCACATCAAATGATTGTAAGTAATTGTAATCTCCCTGTAGCAAAGGTAAATAGTCTGAATGCATAAAATCAATTTTTTTTTGGGAGAAAACTGTACTTCAACAGGTTTTATTTCCTAGTCTTAGTTAGAAAAGTTCGAGAGAGACAGAAGGAAACTACAGGGTACATGTTTATCTCAAAATTTTGCTCAACTAAGGGACACCAAGTGGGTATGTAACAGCTGTGAATAGTCTCTCTCCGTCTCTTGAGGCTTGTTCTTTTATGGGCAATTCCCAAAAATGACAAAACTAATGACTGAATTATCGATGTAGATTCTACATGGTTCTCATCCCTCAAATACTACGTGTGTAATATGAGCATCTCTCGACAGAAAGATTGCCCTACAATGATCATCCAAGAACTGTTGAGAACGAATCAAATCCAACTTCTTTTTCCTAATTGAACACCAGTCGCTCAACCTTTAAGGAGTTCTAGTAAGAAAGGCTCGCGCCATCCTCTCTGCCAGACCCAATAATCTTGAAAAATCAAATATTGAAGAGAATGCTTTTGTGAATGAATGTATGTCCAAGTTAGTAGCTATCCAGGCAAAGCTCGAAACTGCTAAGGATTGATCGAGATCAGAAGTGATTAGCTATCTGCACTATTGTTTTCACATTGTCTGCAACCTTCATGTTATCTGATTATCTTACAACATCAAATTAATAAAATTGCAGCTGGTTTTGCTGGGAGAGGCCTTCTTTATTGGTCACTGATTTTTAGTGCATCTCTCATGCTGATGTTCAAACTGTTTCTCATCGTCTTTCTCCCAACTCCACCATTGCCTCTTCTCATCATTGCTGCAAATTCACTGTAATCTATCCTTCCATCCTGAAAATTATTGCACGAGTTATTGAGAGGCTCCAAGATATTAATCAAATCAAGCAATTTGTGACACACACGCATGCACGCACGCACACACACAACACAGAGAGAAAGACTGACATTATCTTGGTCTATTTCTTGGATCATATCATCAAGGTGGAAATCACTCAAACCAAATTCTCGGCATGCTTGTTGAAGCTCATCAATGGTTATGTATCCACTACCATCCTTGTCAAAATATGAAAATGCTGAGGCCAAGTTCTCTTCTCTCTCCATCTTGTTCAAATGCATAGTAGCCGCAAGGAACTCGCCATAGTCTATGGTGCCACTATGATCAAGATCAGCCTGCAGAGGTTATAAAAAGAAGGTCATAAGACTGCAAGCATTTGCAAGGCAAACAGAAATCAGGTCACAACTTCTTTGGTCCACTTGACACCTCAACAAATGCCCACCAAGCTGTCTGGTGGCCCCATTAACTTACCGCATCCATTAGTGCCTTGATCTCTGACTCCATAAGTTCAGACCCAACTCTTTTCAGTCCCTCTTTAAGTTCTTCAAATGTTATTGTGCCACTGCCATCTGTGTCAATCATTTTAAACAACTCTTTTAGGCCACCAATTTCTTCCTCTGACATGCTTTCTGCAATAACCTGGTTCCACAGATGAATGTATTATTTCCGGTGCTAAAAAAGAGATAACAAAGCAGCTGAATACAAATGTTTCTGGCCGGCTACCCACCCCCGTGAGCTAAACAAGGGCAAGACAGAGAAACTATCTCAAGAGAACAAAGGAAGATATTCCGCATTATGATCCCTCATGTATGCATAGCTTACCTTTAATGCCATCTTTTTAAGTTTGTTCATCGCTGTGAATTGCTTCAAGCGTGACAAAACTGCTGAATCAAGGGGTCTATCTGGAGCAACCGAATCATCTACTATCCATGGGTGACCTGGACAAAGCACATCAGCACTAGCAATTATCAACCACCAAGTTTTTTGTGCTTAGAGATCTACACTGCCTCAAAATACTCCTAAAAAAAAATAAAAAAGCAATTAGTTTTTATTGCTTCTCAATCAAGTGATTGTCGAGAATATACTCACAGAGCACTTCATGTGCAGTTACTCGTTTCTTTGGGTTTCTGTTGAGCATCTTCCTTATCAGGTCTTTTGCACTTTCAGAAATCCCAGGCCATGGTTCAGATTCAAAATCCAAAGGGCCTTGTAAGATCTGTCTAAATATTCCCTGCTCAGTCTCTTAAGATATCAAGATACACCAATTCAATGGAAGTCAGACATGGACCAAAATTTAAAGGGGTTGAATGCTAATATATACAAACTGATCAAGAGTAGGAAAAATGTACTACAATTCAATGGACGTGAGCACACTCAATTGGGGTCATCACCATCCAAGGAAATATTGATTGTGATGCATATAGTGAGACCCTCTAGATCAGTTCATGAACCCAATGGTGAGTCACACTATCTCCAGCACCATCCATCATTTCACTAGACGGTGATGACCTCAATGGAATATGGTTCTCCATAATTCATTGGACTATATAGCATCACTTTCCTTAGAAAGGGACAATTACGTAAACTTATCTAAATCATCAAACACATACAAACCCTTGCTAAAGCTTTCCTCTCAGAAATACCCTGGCACTAGTCTTTTTTTGGATCAAACCCCCAAGTGAATTTTTAAAGCAAATTAGGGAAAAAATGCCCCGTCTCTCTCTTTCCTTGATTCTTCTCTCCCTATACCTCTGCCTCTCTGTACGTAAGTTGAACCATTCTGTCTCTCTATCTGCCTTTCCCGCAACTGCCTCCTTCACTCTCTTCTCTCTTAGTGCTCCTCCATGTACATCTGATCTCTGATATTCTGAATTGTCAAATGCTATTGGCAATCTCTCTTTCCTCTCTCTCTCTCTCCTCTCTCTCTCTCTCTCTCTGTTCTGTGTGTGCAAATCTTTCAATCTTTCTCGCTTCTCTGCTTATATCTCTTTCTTCTAACCATTCAAACACAAATTTCCATGTGGCGATTAGGGTAAAGACAATGTTGAACAATGAGAAACACATGGTTTGGCTAGAACAAGAAGCAGGAGATGGAGCCATGGAAAAGCAGGCACCATAATCTTCTCCGTTCTCTCTCTACTCCTTGCCACTCCAGCCTGGTTGTCTCCCATCTGCTTTGGAACCAGAAGCTACATTGTAGGCACCAATTAAAGGAATGGGAAGGTAGCCCCTTGCTTCTGTTTTTTTGAGGATGTATCCCCTTAGCTTTTCGATGGCAGCTTTGAGAATACATCCTCACACCAATGAAAACCCTACCCATATCCTCCATGAAAGCTCGAATTCAACCAGCAACCTCATCTAAAGCACATTCTCTCTCTTTGCATTTCTCCTCTGGCCCCTCTCGCTCGTACTACATCCTAACATCTCTCTCCCCCAAACTCACTTCCTGTAACCTCCTTCATCTCTTCTAAACTTTCTTCTCTATTCAAACCCCCTCTCTTTCTCTCTCTATTGAGAAACATTGTTGTAGTCCAAGCCTATAAAACTTGCGCATTCCCCAATAACCAGGAGAAGTAGGTATTCTCTCTCATTGGATGGTTCAAGCATCTCTCTCTCTCTCTCTCTCTCTGCTTCAAAATGAAACCCTTTCTGCCATACCTCTCTTCCTCCTTTCTCTCCTCCTCCTCATGGAGTCCAACCCTATAAAACTTGCGCAGTTCCTAAACTCATAATTTTCAATAACCAGGAAAAGCAGGCATTCTCTCTCTTTGAATGGTATAGGCATCTCTCTCTCTCTCT